TGGAACGACCACATGTTCTCGTCACAAAGAATCGTACTGATTCATTGCAAAGCAGTTGATCGTTCTGCCCCCCATGGATACCTTTTTTTCAAGCAGGCAACAGAAGTCCATTTTGCAAGGCAAGGTGCGTTTTCGCGCCGCTTAAAGGAACGATGACATATGAAAATGCTAGAGGTTATGTGGGAAGGTAGTGCGGTCCGGAGTGGACAACCCTGTGCCAGTTTCGCGGCGGAAAGTTGTACGGTAAAGGAATTAAGGCGCAAAGTTGCTTCAGTGGTACATCCCTTTTTCCAGTGACTCCGCCTCCAAAGTCGGCCTTCCAGCCAAAAGTAATGCTCCCGGGCAAGTATCATGGAGTGGACTCATTCAATGTTTCTTGTAGAGTCATAGGTTTAGAATGATTTTGTAGGCCGTCCTTTTCCCTATCAAATGGCTCTTCAAACGCCCGGGAGAGCTAAAAGTTGGCGAGATAAACCTTTCCGAAGGAGGACATTCCAGATGTCCAAAGACTTTCAAATCCACCTGATAGCATCTGCATCAAGGACTTGAACCCTGATGGCGGTCTCGTGAGGGAACCCAAAAACGCAGGATATTTGCAGTTTGTCGCACGCGACGCCCCGTGATCCTTCCGCCACATACCACCTCGTGCCATCGTTCTGAGGCGAGGACATTTGGCAGAACACGTTGAAAGTTCGAGAGATGCAAAGCGGTGCATCACGTTTCGCAACCATGCGTGTCGGATATAGCAGTAATCAGCTTCTACACTACTATCTACGCGAAAATACCCAGTAAAGCAGCATGAAAAAGTTCAACGAACAATGACTTTGTGAACTTACGTTGCTCTGATTTTTCTGAACAAGGAGCTGACTGTAAAGACGACTGCCTTCTTCTTTGCCACAGGCTTGCATCAAGCTCGTCTTATTCAGAGCGAACAAGTTTGCTCCATCTTGTCCGTCCAGTAGTTCGATTACTCTGAAAGGTTTAATCACTGTCAAAGATTCGGGCACAATTTTATAAATAAGTAGTAAACCTCAAGCTGAAGCCTTTTTCTTGGAGCCAGGTAGACACTTCCTGTGGTGTGGACCCTCCGTGAAGCTGTATGGTCGTCTGTGGTCGTGGTTCCTTCTTACGCAGAATGTCGCCGTTCGATTTCCCAACAGTCTCTCTCAGTTCCGCAACCAGAGCTCGGTCTTCTGAAGGAAGTGTTAGCCGTAGGTTTATACTTGCATTTTCAATGATTTGAAATAGTATAATGAACCGATGAGGACGCGCAATAGTAACGTTGGATTCATCATATCCTTGTCAGGGCAAGTAGCAGACCCTAAGCAGGCGCTGCGTGGCGCCTAGGTACCCTTATAAGGCTCTATCAAGCTACAACACACCGACCCAAACGCCCACCACGCCCGCCCGCCCACAAATGGACGACCGTACCTGATGCTCGTATTGCTTCATTTGCTAAGTAAAATATGAAGCGAAGGGATTGGTATGAAGTGGCTGAGGTGCTGATATGAGTACATTCGCGCAGCCGTACCCACCGAGGTTATGGGCGAGATGCCCACGGGAAACTCGTCCATAACCAGAGTCACGAAGAACGAAGGACTTTTCTTCGCAGGTTTTTGACCGTTTCACTTCGTTTTTCGCCATTTTCCCCACTATATAGCGCCCTGCTAGCATTTTAGACCGAGTACCAAATTATCGTGCCAACTGCCTTTCAAGATGATCTCCAGTCTTATTTGCTGCGGAGCTGCATTGGCGCGCCGCCAACCCCATCTCTACTAGTCGCTGTAGCAGATGAGTGACGACAACTTGTGGAAAACTACTGATACGAACTACACGATACAGTCTCTTTTGCAGAGAGAAGAAGAGGGGTTGTTGCCCCGCTAAGTGCAAATCAGGCTGTATCTTACAAGGGAGGTCGTTCAGGTCATGGTGAGCATGGTCCATGCATGGACCCCTAAATCATGCAACAAAGCGTTTCCAAGAAGCTCACCATGACCTGAACGACCTCCCTTGTTAGGCGTGCTCGTTCACCTCCCAGGAGCGGTTAGTAAGAGCCTTGCTCAGCTCGACCATATTTTGCCGTTTCATCGCACTATCCAGCCCCACCACATCCTTTTTCTCCAGGGAACCTTTTTACCGCATCCACTAATTTAAGATGCATGTTTCATGCTCCCCGGTCCACAGATCTGATGAGAGACGAACCTTTGCTCCTCCTTGCAAGAGCGATATGCGGTTTTGGATGCATAGCTGTCGGAGGCTGAAATTTACAGGGAATTCTTGACTTCTAATCACTTTGGACGCTTTGACACCTTACCACGTATTCGCC